CTCTCTCTGTCTCATTCTCGCTCTCTCAAATAAATAAATAAATCTTTAAAAAAATAAAAAATAAAAAAAATAAAAATTAGAGAAGCAAACATTTACAAGATTATTTCTCTAAACAACCCTACAGTCTCATTATAGTAAGCCTGAGAATAATACTGGCGATAGAAGTTACAAATCTCTAAAACTTAGGAATCAGGATGAATTCATAAAGAGCTTGGATAAGTATATAAGGATCATTTTAAAGGTGACCAATAATAGCCTGCACTCTCATTCTCTGTTTAAGACACAGCATTCTTCCCCTATTCTACCGCAGGCTTCCAGACTCACAAGAGTACTGCTGAGGTTTTGTTGAAACAATTTCTTGTCTCTCAAAATCCAGTATAACAATAAAACTGCCACACCCAACTCCAAGGCCTAGACTTTGTCTCCACAGCTAATGTCACAGCTGTTAATTATACATAGTTGGTACAAGTGTTTTACACAGTCACGTGAATATACATCCAAAATAAAGATGTTTTCTTAATGAAAAACTATGATTAACAACAGCTGTCATGACTTATTTGATAGCTATGTTGCCAATGCATTTAAAAAATAGCTTTTAGGACTTACCGGAAGGCTGCAAGGTTTTGTATTCACTTTCACACAAAGATTGGGTGGGAAGTGATCTTCTTGTGGACAACTGGTTTCTGATAAACAAAACCTAAACAATAAAGGACAAGTTTAACTTCCTTTATTAAAGGATGACCTCAATATTTTTGTTCAATAGCTAATCTAAAAGGTTGCTAAACTTAACAACAAAAACTACTAGAGCTAGACACTTCACATGATGAATAAGCACATTACACAAACTGAAAATAAATAATTCTGTCAATGTAAAGTTTCAATGATCACAACTATCAACCTACAATTGTCTTCATAATATTGCCGATCATTTGCTTAAGCATGTTCTAGGAAGGAAAAAAAGGCTCTGTAGTGGAATAAATTAAAGACATTCTGAATCAAAAAATTAAATTATCTTAATATAGAACGTCTCAGAGCTAGGGTAACATGCACTGTAACTTTCTAAGAGGGAGATATAATACACAGTATCTCTCAAACTTATCTGCTTATAAAATAGTCATTTCTTGGTTCTTAGCAGAATATACTGAAAATGCTATAAGTCCATCCCTAAGACCAAATTCTACCCACTAAGCCAAGGTACTCCATTATTCCCTGAGAAGTGAAGGTGTTGAAAAATAATATTATTTGTACTATATCTACATACATTTAAAACACTATTTTAGAAACTCATAATTGTTTAAGAAAACTATGGACAGCTACATAATTTGTAAATTCTCACTCTGTTCATGCTTACATAAAGAAACAAATTATTAATTTGCTATTTAAGACATCTTAGTAACTTCCTTATTCCCAATATACAGCTGAGGCTCATCCCACCTTTTTTTTTTTTTTTTTTTAAGATTTTATTTATTTATGAGAGAGAAGAAAAAGCAAGGGGAGCCACAAGCAGAGGGAGAAGCAGGCTCCTCGCTGAGCAAGGAGCCCAATGCGGGACCTGTTCCCAGGACCCTGGGATCACGACCTGAGCCAAAGGTAGACGCTTAAACGACCTGAGCCACCCAGGCATCCCAGCTCATCCCACCTTTATAGAACATTCACAGCATCTTTGAGTTATATGTTAAAAAGAACCCTATCTGAATTCTGTGAAATATTCATCACACACAAACATCTTCCCTCACCATCTATGGTGTAGGGTCTTAACCTGCCGGCTATGGAATCTGTATGTGGGAGGATCCACAAGCTGGACAATTTTCTATGTACATATATACATTCATCTGTATGGGGTAACAATCTGTAGCTTCCATCAGATTCTCAAAGGGTAAGGGACCCACCCATAAAGGAGTTAAGAATTACTGATCTACAAAGATTTTCTTGAAATATACATAGCAACACAGATGAAAATACACAGACATCAAAGCTCATAGGATCATCTCTAACCCCAGCAAAACCTGTTACAGGACAATCTTTTGTACTGCAACAGTAAAAGAATGCCACAAAGTTTTTAATAAATTATTCCAATGCAGTGATAAATTTAAAACACAGAGTCTGGCTGCCTGAAGCTACAGAAAAGAATGATTTATATGACAAGTTGACCCCTATTCATTTAAGTAAAAGGCAAAAATCTAAGGCACCCTAACAAACCAAAGGGAAAAGAAGAAAAAAGAGGAATAGCAAAAAGTTGCTGTGAAGGAGTTCGTGGTGGTGGGGAGGGGAAACAGGTACATAAATGAGAACAGACTAGGAATCTAATAGAGAAAACAGTGACCCTAATCCTGACCAAATTATTTTCATGCTTTAGACACAATTTATAATTAGGATAATAGGTATACACTCCCAACTTAAATAATACACGGGGATTGTAGACCTTGTTATCGAGGGTAAGGGGATTAGGATGAAAAATAACCATTTTATCAAAACGCAAAGAACCACCTAACAATTACCAACTCTAATACAAAACGGTTCTTTTTTTCATCAAGTTCTGGAGATGAATTTGAATTGAAAATGGCTAAACCATTTATTTATTTATTTTTATCTATCTATCTATCTATCTATTTATTTATTTATGGGCTAAACCATTTTTTTTTTTTAAGATTTTTTATTTATTTATTTGACAGAGAGAGAAAGACAGCTAGAGAGGGAACACAAGCAGGGGGAGTGGGAGAGGGAGAAGCAGGCTTCCCGCCGGGCAGGGAGCCCGATGTGGGGCTCGATCCCAGGACCCTGGGATCATGACCTGAGCCGAAGGCAGACACTGAACGACTGAGCCACCCAGGTGCCCCAACCATTTTTTAACCACCAAGATTCCCTTGAAACCACTGAAATAGAGGGCTGATCTATCTTAAACAGAAAACATTCCTTTGGAAGGTGAACCATACCTGTTGCTGTGTTATAGAATGCATGTATATTAATATAAAATACTGAAGACAGGAACTAGATCTTTTGTTCTAGAACTATGGTTTTCAAATTTTATTTTAGTCTTGGGACTCTTTCTTCAAATGAAAACTAACCCAGAAGTCAAACATGCAAAATAGATCAAAGCAGTACTACTTTGGTTCAGAGTGTGTGTTGGGGGGTGGGAGGGACCTAGCACAGACCCCTATGGGTGGCTCCAGGCAACAGTTTAAAAAACAGTTTCAAACGATAATGTCACATATCAGTATGAACAAAAGAAAACTGCTGATGCAGAAGTAAGCAAAATTACAGCACTATATAATTACGAAGGCATCATACTTTAGTCCTTTAATTTATTCAGTCATTATCATGTTCTGCCCCGACAGAGGATAAAGTACCTTTTACATAGGAACATCTTTGTCAGTGCACTCTGAAATCAAGACTTCAGGGGTGCTGGGTGGTTAACCAGCTCAGCTGGTTAAGAGTTTGCCTTCAGCTCAGGTCATGATCTCAGAGTCCTGGGATGGAGCCCTGCATCAGGCTCCCCGCTCAGCAGGGAGTCTGCTTCTCCCACTCCCTCTGCCTCTCCCCCCCTGCTCATGCTCTCTCTGTCTCTGTTTCTTTCTCTGTTTCTCTCTCAAATAAATAAATAAAATCTTTAAAAATAAATAAAACTTAAAAAAAATAATAAAATCAAGATTTCAACCTCTCCTCTGCTTTCTCACTGTTTTCATCACTGTATTTTTAAGCCAATTTCAGGGTTTTTCACATCATTCCCTAAAGCACGGAGCGGGTGCTTTATTCTCTTTTCTGACCTCCTAATGTATTTATAATTTGTACATACAACTTCGGATCCAATTAGTGAGATTGTGGCTATCTGTTTGACTGATCCTTCCCACTTTAGGGAAAACAGCTTATGGAGGAAAACATCGGTCTTATACTCCCTCTTCTATCCCTACTGAGACAAGACTAGTGTGGAGCAGTTAGGTTCCTACAGGGATAGTCAAAGAGTAAAAAGAGTACCATAAGATGGTTTATATAAGACAGAGAGACATATTAACATAAAAGAATTCTTAGATATCCTTAGAAAAAATGAGCTAAGAAAAGAAACTGAATAAGGGGAATCTGTGAATCCATGCTAGAAAATTTTCCATTCGTCTTTGCAAAACTATCAAGAGAGGTCTCATGAAATCTAGAATAGAGTTTTTAAATTAATGATTTAAAATACAGGACAAAGCAAATTAGACTGTTTTGGTTTTTGGTAGTCTGTGAGACACTTAACCTAAGTACTAGTTCTGTATTTACAGTAGTTTGTCATCCTTTGCACATTCACAAAAGAGTAGTTCTAAAGAGTTCACACTATCATATCATTTAAACATATCATTAGCTGGAGCTTCTCAACCAACTAAAGGCAACCAAAACGGAGAAAGGTGGTTAGATATATGGTACATGACTCGCTATATTAAAATCTAAACTGTATAAAAATTAGGATATTTCATAACAGGAGAAGGTCTTCCCTCACCCAAACATCTAAACCTAGTACTTTCAATATACTTATTGAAAATTACATAATTTTTAAGACTCTTTAAGGAATATTAACTTTTAAACATTGGATATATACTGTAGACAATACTGTACCTTAACTGGACCTGCACTGTGAAGTCACATTTGGTCCCAGAAATATCCCTAGAAAAGACAGGGTAGGAACTACAATTATTTTTAAAATATGCACATGAAAGCTGATTCAAAGATACTGTTACTCCTAAAGTTCTTCAAATTATCAGAGATATAACTGTTCTTCAGATAACTAACACTATAATAGCATTTCCAATACTAATATTCGCATGACACTAATACTCACCCAATACACTGCTTTTAAAAATCACTTATTCTAGACATTACTGGTTTCAAAGGCCAAACTGCAAGTTACACTTGAAGAGAACTTACATGGAACTACTGATCTGCTGCACTTGCTGTGGTGTCAATGCAAATGCAAAACAGGTTTCTCGAAAGCGCTGGCTGTTGTCTGATGCTAAAGAAGAAAAGAATTATACTTTTAATTACCTTCAAATTCATCAATAGAGAACATAACAGCCAGAAAAAAAAAAAAGCCTAATTATTCACATGACTTTAATTAACTGGAATATATTCTAGAGTTTAGATAACAAGGCAATTAAAGCACTGAAAAGTAAGAAATGTGCCAGTTGTAATGTAACAGAAATAGACACCAAAATGGCTAATTTCAAAAGCCATATCAGGATTCAAATTCAGAAAATACATAATCAAAGAAACACTAACTGAAAATTATCTAATCATATAAATGTGTGCATCTAAAAAAGCATACTTGTATAAAAACATGCTTATATTAATTTTATTTAAAGTAGAAAAATATAAACCCATTTAAAGACACATGGTTTCTGAGCTAAGTAACAAACATACACATCTGGAGATCTGCAAAGGTGAGGTGACATTTGGTCTTGAAGGCAAAATACGAATTTTATCATCTCCTGCCTAACTATACCATGCAAGTGTTACACAGTAAATACCATAAATAGTTTCTCCTAAATTTAGATGATCTGACTTCATAATCTGCCTGTGGTCACTATCTCAAAGAAGGAAAGAGCTACAAAAAGAGGGGAAGGAAGGGAATGAAGAGAGGAAGGGAGGGAGGAGAAGGGACGTAGGGAGAATGAAACAAACAAGAGAGCAGGCAAGCACGGACAGGTCTGCGTAAGAGCAGGGATTCCTACAGTATGCTGCTGTGAGCAACAGTAATTCTATTGGCTTATACCAGTTACATGCATATTTTAAAAATCAGCCCTAATGTTTCCTCAGTGCTTGGCACAAGAAGCAATGAATGATTGCTGAACGAATAAAAGAATATGACAACTTAAAAATACCAAACTATTTAAACTATACCTTTCAAGGGTAATTTTCTAGAAAAAAGGATCACTAAAAGTTACTATCAAGGAAATCCTGGCCTGTGGGCCACTTAAACCCATGCAGAAAAAGTAGCTGAATTTGGCCATCTCTTTGTTTAAACAGGGTTTGATCTGACTTGTAAGCAACACTTCCTCTACAATTACCACCAAGCTGCAGTATGTCATGCCGAAAAATCTGTACAAATGTATCACGATGAGAAAAAAAATGGAAAAGATCACTGCTGATCTACAATTTCATCTCAATATAGAAGCATCTTTTAAAGGCCAGATTTGCATTTCTGCTTTCTGTGAACTGGGAAGGCTTTTACTTAAAAAATCTATCCCCAAGAAAGAGTTACTAACCAGAAAGTTATCTTAATTGTGAGGTACCAACCCGGCAAATGACTGATAACCAAGGACTAGAATGCAGAAAAGAAGATCACTTCCTCCCTCAAACAATGCAAATAAATAACTCCTTTGCTTCTTAAAGGATATCTCTCTATGAAGATTTTAATCCAGTAGGCTTAGCCTAATTTAGATTTCTGGCTCCATTCTAAAACAGTGCTAAAATAATTTCCCAAGTACAAATATTCATATTTCTCTTTAGGCAAATTTCAGATTCATTTTAGAATATATGAGTACAGTAAGTTTTAGACACATACATGCAGATTTAGATAAAGAAGACATGACCAAAATAAAGAGACAGTTGCTTGTGCCACACACAGAAATGAGGCTTATTACTTAGTAATAACCCCTATTTACAAACTCTTTTTAGATTGTACTGCTCATGAAGTTATTACAATTGATCTGGGAAAGCACCTTTCATCTATGTGGTTTTCAGGCTTAATTTCCACAATGAATGCCAGTGAAGAACTTCAGAGTTTTGTCTTAGGTAACAGACTATCTTAAAAACTTTTCTGAAAGGCAATTAAGCTATTATTATCCCTTTCAGGAAAACTCAGGCCAAACAGAATCACAGAATCCTCATACTGAAAAAGGAGTCCAACGTATCCAAAACAATGACTTCCAGTGTTGGGGGTATGCATCTCAGAAGGTACACAAAACAATCCACAGGGATACAAGAAAAAGTACCTACCTACTATAAATGTAAGTTTTAAAAAGTTGAGATTTTACATGAAATCTCTAATCTAATTTATAAAAATATCTAAAATTGTATGTAAAATCTTAACTTTTGTAAATTCTATTTTTTGCTTTATAACATAGAGAATATTAGTATAATAGCTTAATAGATATGACATATATATACACACACACATATATATGCTAAATTATTTTACTGAGAGGGGCATATTAACACATAAGTTTGCAGACCACCAATTTAGAGTTCAACCTTCCTTTCAACTTTTCCTCACACTTTTTTTGAATCCATTTAGAGGTGAGAGAAGAGTGGCCATGACTTTGTCAGGCAGAAGATGGCTGATATTAACAGTTTAATTATAAGAAAGCATGCAGCCCTACAGAGAGTAGCAAAATTTAGTGGAAAGAGATGAGGTCACATAGACCTAGATTCCAAAATGGTTTTGCCACTTACTTGCCATATGACCATAGGTACTTATCCACTCTGTGACTGTTTCCTCCTCCAATATTTAAACATAAACACACACACATACCCACAACTTCATAGGGTTATTTTGAAGAATATAAATGAAGTAAGATATTAAAAACAACCAACAATTTCCTTTTCTATCCACTTTCCTCCTTGCTCCCTTATACTGAGTCAAAATACATAATGCTGCAATTTCTACCCACCAGTGTCATACTCCATATCCAGTGACAGCCATTCTTCAAGTATTTTAGACAGCATTAACAAGCCCCTCTTTTTCAACTCTTCTCACTGTATTTCAGGGGAGACTGCAGAATTACTCACCATCCTGATCCTCTGGACATACTTCAGGTTGTCACACCCTTAAAGCAACAGCAAGAACTGTACACACTCTGTCACAATATATATATTTATTCTAAATAAGATTATTCCAGTGCCACTGACATTAGCCTTGGCCAGTGAAATGTGAGTGGAAGTATACCACTTCTAGGCAGACCTTTATGAGTTCTCCTTTGGTTTCACCATCTTTCGTTCCAGTCCACCCTTGATTCTAGAGCGAAAAGAATATAAAACACAGCCACAGCCAATCTGCAGCTAGTAAGTAACATAAGCTAGACATAAACCTTACTTGTTTGCCACTGAGATTTATGGTTGCTTATAAACTGATGTATTAGTCCAAATGTGATGTGACTAAAAGAGTATTTTTATCAACAACTACCATCTACTGTTAATCTATACGCCAATGAAGAAAATGTATCTGCTCCTTTTTCAGATTTAGAAATTGATGTTCAAAGTTGTTATGTAACTGTCAAGGCCTCATACTAGGTTAAGTGGAAGCAGAACTGGAACTCAGATCTAAACATCTCCAAAGCCCATGTTCAGGTCCATCAGCTCCCCTGATCTGGGTGGTATACTTCTCTACATGCAGCTTAGCATTATATTGGATCATAGAAAACAGGAAAAGAATGACCCACTATCCCTTCATAATAACTGCTTATCATTTTTACATATTTCCTTTTAGTCACTTTTATATCAAATTGTATGGACAATTTGAACGTTCACTTCAAAAAAATCACCCTTATGACATTTTTCAATTATAATCTCTATTACCATATTTTAATTATTGCATTGTACTCTATCTATGGGATATAATGAAAATTTTAATTACTCCCTTGATTAGCTATTTAGGTTGTTTCTAATTTTTCATTATTTGAAACAATTCTGTGACCATCTTTGGGCTCATGTTTGTTTTTTGAAAGGGGGGGTAGTTATTACTTTCTTTGGATCAAGTCCCAGATGTAGCATTTCTGGATCAAAAAGTATGGAGATTTTTATGAATCTTGACACATTGCAGAAGTGATTTTCAAATGGTTGTAACATTATATATAAGACCACCAGCAATTTATGCATCTACTAATTGCACCCTACTCTGGCCTGCATGGGAGTTGTGCTAATTTAATGGATGGATCATGGTAAGTCCTCAGTAGATTAATTTGCATTAAAGAGTTTTTCCCTGTTTGGGGCGCCTGGGTGGCTCAGTCGTTAAGCGTCTGCCTTCAGCTCAGGTCATGATCCCAGGGTCCTGGGATCGAGCCCCGCATCGGGCTCCCTGCTCGGCGGGAAGCCTGCTTCTCCCACTCCCCCTGCTTGTGTTCCCTCTCTCGCTGTGTCTCTCTCTGTCAAATAAATAAAATCTTTAAAAAAAAAAAGTTTTTCCCTGTTTATTTTTGTTTGGTTTCCAAAATTTTTATTTTATTTTTATTTTATTTTGTTTGGTTTAGTTAATTGTCCAATCTTGTCCTGCACCCAGTTTTATATTTGCATAGGGATTTCATATATAAGAACATTAACCCATGGAAATTTGCTATAAATTTTTCCCCCAGTCTGCTATATTTTTTTCATTTGGCTACATTTTTGGATGATATACAAGTTAAACTTTCATGTAATCTAATCTGTCAACCATGTCCTTTGCAAATTCTAACTGTTCCCCTTCTTAGGTTCAATCAATATATAATTGAAGTTTTTGGCTTATTGTTTCTATGTAATTATTAGTCCATCTGGAACTTATTTTAGTATGTGATATTTTTAAAAATCTAAATTTCTGTTATTCCAAATTGCTTACTGTTATACTAACACCATATGTTAAATAATCCTTCCCTTCCCTATGGATGTGTGTTTCCTTTCTCATATATTAAATCCTTATATCCAACATGTTCCATTTCTGGGCTATCATCCCATTGGTCCTTTTTATCCTGGTGCTGGCACTCTAGTTCTTAATTGTTATAGATTCATTATGTTTTAATATCTTATAGTTAGGTTTCTCTCCACCCATTCTTTTTTCAGAACTTTAACAACAACTTTAATATTTATTCACCTATATGAACTCCTGAATAGTTTTGCTATGATTTTTAAAACCTAATGGTATTTTGAGTAGAACTGCAATAAACCTACAAATTATTTTGACAGCTGGCATCTTTATATCTTTACATCTTTAACCTTGCCATCCTGGAGTATTGTACCTGTGTCCATTTATTCATATCCTGAAGG